GCTGTTAATTAGAGAGTTCAGGAGTCCCTGTGGAAGTTGCACTTCCACAACAGCAGTTTTAACTCCTGAATGGTTCTGGGATATTGCAATAGCCCTCGCAAGAGCATCCCAAGCATGTTCAATGGGATTAAGGTCAGGAGATTTGGCTGGCCGATTCATTCAGTGAATATCCTCACTTTCCAGATAGTCATCAATCAGGTGGGTCTGTGTGGTCTTGCATTGTCATCCATAAAAGTGAACTCAGGACTAACAGCAGCCCTGAAAAGTTGCACATAGGGCTCTAAGATCTCATGCCTGTACCTCTAGGCATTTATGGAACCACTGTCAAACACATCAAACACATGGAGCAGTGTGCAGGTATCTTACATGATCCCTGCCCAGACCATCACTCCTCCACCACAATATTGGTTCCTTTCCATGATGTTGCCGGGATGGTATCAGATTCCAGGTTCCCTCCATATCAATAATTTCCAACAATTAGGTGGTAGAATAGAAGAGAAACACGTGATAATCAGATAATCAGGTGGTAGACTGAATTTGCACTCAACTGTGAAGAGAACATTAGCCCATTGAAGCTGTGTCCAGTGTTGGTGTTGTATTCAGCATTGCAAATGCTCTCTCTTGTTGGAGTGAGTGAGTGGGATACAAATAGGCATACAGTCCTGTCTCATGGAGCCTTCTGGCAACTGTCTTCCTTGCAATTGATGTTCTTGTGGCAGTAGTGATGTCGTGAGACAGTTGTGGTTGTAAATGTCTTCTGGTGCTTGGCTGAAAGTACCAAATACCGGTCATCATTTCTGGACACTGTCGCGTTGTTTCTTAACTGATTCCACAAATTAGAGATGACACTTGGTGTTATATCAAGTTCTCTTCCAACCTGAGCTTGGGATTGCCCTGCCTCAAGCTTACCCACAATTCTCCATCTCATACCTTCATTTAAGCGATGATGTGTACTCATTTCACCCCCAAAAACAGAAAAAAAAAAAAAAAAGATTATTCAAGAAAGACGAGAAAAATAACCACCGTGTTGTAGAGCGAAATGAGCTGAGCAGCTGGACAGAGACTATTATACTTGATGCTGGCGTAGCAATGCCCACAAGAATACGTAAGCTCATATCAGCTACACCAGTGTTACAGTGACATCATATGGCAACCAGCTGTCCAGGTTTGTGTGGTATTTTAGGAGAAAAGTGGGAAAATGTTTTCTATATTTTAATTTTGTTCACCAGTGTATTTCAGAATCATTTGTAGCCACATATACCATTTTTTAAACCAGTACACTTGCAGAGTCTCCAGTGAAATTTGCTTTCTTGTTGATTAATTTGTAGTTTATGAATTGTCTGTTTATTTGAATTCTTATAATCAGCAGTAAAAATAAGAAAAATTTTATTTATTGTAATTTATTTGCTACTATCAGGACTAGAAATACATAGGCCAAGTCCAAAAAGGGGTGAAAGAAAAGTGCTTCCTATCCAAGAGGAAGAAAACTGTTGTAGAACATATTTAAACAAGGAACCTTTTTAAAAAAAAAATCTATCTGCTTTATCTGTTTTTGTGATGTACTGAACCATCTCCTGGCAACCACCTCTGAAAATGATCAGTATTTTGGAGAACTTAACATCAGCATTGAACATTTTTTCTAAGACAACCATTTATACAAGTGACCAGAATCATTTGAAATCATGGGTAGTTGTTGTAGAAAGTATTCATCATTCATACTGGTAGCAAATCCTCTTTTGGAGATCACCTATCTTAGATGACTATCTTTAAAATGAATTTGTACGTATGAGGACATAAATAAATATTGATATTTTATATAACTTCTCTAAGGTGACTTATGCCAAAAGACCAATGTAATTATAGTCTTCTCTAGGGGCAGTTGTGCTAAAGAGGTAATTTTCAATACCTATCTCTGTTTATGCTCTCAGAAATACTGATATATGTATGTATGTATATCTGTGAACCCTCTCGTTCCTATCTTCCTAAGGTGACCACCTCTCAAAATGAGCAGTATTTCTATGAATATAAGTAAATATTGACCATCACTCTCACAGAAGTTCTGATTCTTCTTTAACTCTTTCTGGTTGCCTTAAAAAAGGTTAATTGTGGATACATCTGTATATATGTGTGTGTGCACATAAAGCATTTAATTTTATTCATTACAAGTATCGACTGTTGTTTTGGACCAAAAAAAAGTAGAAAAGATGGAAGGAAATGAGCATATACAGTAAACCCTCTCTAAGTCAAACACCTGCAATTCCAGGTAACTTTGATCATACTAAAAAGGTTTTGTTCAATGTTGGTGTTTATTTAGCTTCTTCAGAACAGGTTCAGGTGCTTTTGGAGAGGGGGTTATGATGAGGGGGTTCACCCTATGTGTTTTAACTTTAATGTAAAACTTTAATGTGATGTTTTTAACTTAGGAGTAGGAAAAAAATTAGTATAATATAAAAAAATGAAATATGTAATAAAAATTGGGAGGAAAAAATCATAGAGAGTATGAGTACCAGTGACTTTTTCTTTATTGAAACAAACATTTATTTCTATTGTCATTATTTGCAAAAGAATTTTACTGATGTCTGTAAAAAAACCAGCATGAACCCATATACCTACTGACATCCATTGCATTTGTACTAGCAACCTGTAAGAAAACCAGTAAAAGTAAATATAAATCAGTACAACTAGCAGAACATTCTACTGACATTGGTGTTGGTCGCATGGGTGTCAAAGATTCTTTAGTTACCAGTAAGAAAAACCAATATAGAGTTTTATTGTTATCTATGGAGTATTTTTAGCTGGGCACGAGAGCAAAGCTCATTTACAGTTACATGATTTTGATCTGAACTATTCAACTACAACTGTCAATTTCTAACATAACTGTATTTATAGGTTTGTGTTTAGTACTTCTGGAAGCTGTGAAAATAAATCATTTCCAGAGCTTCAAAAATGCTCTTTCAAAAAACTTCTGAAACATTGACATGTTGACAAAAAAATGTCCAAATGTTGCCAATTTGGAGACAAAATAGTCATGATTCATTAAAAGTGTTGTTGCTTATATTTCAGCTTCTGATTCAGCTATTTACATAATTCAAGTGTCAATTACTTCAGAATTACATAAATTTAAATGAAATAAATAATTAGAGACAAAATAAAAATTTGGCTATACAAATTCAACTAAACAGAAAGTCAGAACTATATTACATAACATTTGCTAAATAAATAATAAAAACAGTAATACACTAAAATACAAATAAACCAAGACACAATCAAGTAAACACACATATTTACAAAATTTTAGTAACCTAACGTTATTCATTATAACTCTCTGAAACATGTCTGTGTTTTCTTCAGAAGCTCATATCTGTGCAGTCCTTAGTATTGGTGCTATGCTAAAGGGTCTTTTATCACAAAATTATTGGAACTAACCAGAACCAATTGAAATTAATTAATTAATTATTGACTGATTATACTGATGACTAGAGCATTCAGAAAGGAATGAACTATCATATTTTGTTGTTTACCTTTCCTCTAAGACATCATCAGCCATGGAACCTTGGAGACCAATTAATTATAATTTCTTTCAGAATTTCAAATCTGATTTCTTTCTTATAGTTAGAATGCAAACATTTTTTAACATTGCAGAAGAGTGCTTTTGGGGCTTTCTGAAGTAGTTAGTTCATGTAATTGCAAAGCATTATTATCATTTATGAATAATAGAAAAGTCTTTGTTTAATGAAGCTCCAGTATTTATGTTGAGTGCCACTTCCTTAGTGAGGGTAAATGCAAAACTATGTGAGGATCTTTCTATTCTGAGTAATTTGTTTTCCAAATGCTGCAAAGTCATCAAAGAGTTATTGTGCATGATGATACATGGAAAAAATAATATAAGTAAATTTAATAAATCCCAGGGAGCATCCAAAAAGTAAAATTTCATAGGTATTGAAAACAATAGAAATGTTCATTTCCAGTTTTCCTGGATAAGACTTTCAATCTCAATGCATGCACGTAAGTCGGCACCAAATGACATATTGAGTAAATTTTGGAAGATATCACTTACAATTGCATAATTGTTTCTTCATTGTGCCCCCTTTTATTTTCTAAGCAATGTCTGTCCTTTTCTAATGTTATTTGTAAATATCAGTAGCAAGGCATAATTTCCCCCCTTGAATTTAGCTTTATGTGAGTGTGAGAAGCAGGTTTATATATATATATATATACTGCTCAGACGGTATAGTGGTTAGTGCACTGAGTGCCATAGTTATGGTCTGGGGTTCAAATCTCGGAAAAGGCATGATTGTAACTGTTCATCCCTTCATAGGAGGCAACGGTGGCCACCTATCAGGTGTTTCCATAATGAAATGGCCACCACTTCCGCCCCTTGTAGTGGTGCAAGGCTAATTATAAAGTGCTCTGCCATTAAAAACAAAAGGTTTATATATTTAAGTTTCTAAAGTTCTGTGGTATTCTTTAGGACAATGTCAAAAAGGAACTTTGTTCCAGGTCGGTAAGAAGGTTTTATGATAAAATTATTGTGTACTCTTTAATCTTTAAAGCAACAAAGTTCTAGTGTAGATCAAACTGCTAGGTATTACATTTTCATTAACTGTTTTCTCTGAATAAATTCCATTTTTATGTGTTCAGTGATCTCGATGAATGTAATTTATAGTAGAATGCTTGACTAGTTTTCAGTTCTGTTTTTATTTGCCAAATTCTCGCCTGTGTGAATTGTTATGACTGGGTATTGTAAAGTATGTTTTATTTTAATGTATGTGAAATTTGCAGCTTTTGGAAATAACTTTTATAAACTGTAAACTTCATAGACAAAATCATTAGCACCTCATTTTAATAATATAATGTTTAAAGCAATACTGAAAGTTGTTCTCAGAATAAATTTAAATTATAATTTAAACTGAAGTTGCATTATTAATTGTAATGCTTTTAGGCGAAATGTATTTCCAGAAATTTTGATACTTTCTAAAAAGATGTTTGTTTTTTACAAGCTGCTGGACGGAATATATTTCAAGGGCCAGTCCATCCACCACCTCCAGGTGGTGTTCCTGTTTTTCCAATGGCTCCAGGTCAGATGATTATTTATTGTATTTTATACTTTTTCTCAAACACCAGTTTTTGCACATGATCTTTAATTTTCTGTAAAAACAAAATTGTCTTATTGTAAGGCTTAAGAATGTTACCTGTGGGCCACAGGTAAAATAGTAAAATATATTACGTTTAGTTTTCAAAGACGTGTTTTCTTAGATTGCCTAAAATACTCTTGGCATTTAAAAAGTGGGAATTATCTTTGGAATTAATTTATTTCCGTTATGAAGTTTGACTTTGCTAGCGTAACTTAATTCCAAACTCCTAACATACCGAGAGCAAATTATCACTTTGTCTGTAAAGAACTACAAAGTTTTTAAAAGGTTTTAAACTAAACCTTTATATTGAATAAAAAAAAGCATATATGCACATCTTCGATCAGCCAACTATTTGTGGTGATAAAACAAGTAACAGACAAAAGACTAGTTGCCAAAGGGTACACAATTGATTTAATGTCAAGTTTGCTCAAACTTCTTCCCGGTGTAACAATTTAAATATTGGCAACTATAATGCAAGCGGAAGAATACAATCTTATCTGAGCTAGCTAACCTAGTAACTTGGCCTCAAGAGGCAGAAATATGCTCTATTTAGAGTCTTAACAACCTCAACGTACATACTCCATCTAATTTGCATGTTGGCAAGGAAACTAAAGGGAGAAATGATAGTAAAGATCCAGAACATAAAATAACTAGCTAATGAAAAATATTAATAGTAATTTTACACCCTCTAAGAAAAACTGAAGGTTTTCAAGATTCCAATCACTAATAGTCCTAATATAACATTGTGTGAATATATAATTATTTTCAGAGTTTCCATTTACTGTTTTAATACATGTTTCCAAGAGTATTGAATACTGGACTTTGTAAAATACAGTCGAGGTTTAGTTGTCTTTTGGTTCATTGGTATACATTATATGATCAAGAATATCTGGAAACTGTAGCTCACAAATAAATACAAAATTAATATCATGCGGGTCCCCTTTTTACTGAACGGATAGTTGTAACTCTGTTAGGAATACTATCTACTAACTTTAACTTTATTCAATTAACATTCTTGTAAATGAGCTGTTATCTGTTCTGGCATTCATGTGGAATGACAAGGTCTGGCTCTCAGCTTTGCCTTCTACTTGATTTCATTGTACTTTCAAATGTTAAGTGTTTCAGAGCATGTTCTTCTAGTTTATTCCACTGTTTCAACATTTCATTTTAGCAAGCCAACTGTCTACATTATGTGTTGTATGAACGGAATGTGTTGCTATAGAAATGGTGCCACCTCAAACAGTTGCCATGATGGTGACAAAGCAGAATGATTTTAAATATTACATAAGAGTCTGTGCTCTTAATTTCATTTCTCAGGCCCAAAGAGCTGAATGTGGACTATGCAAAACTGCTTTGAACCTTATTCTTCCATCATAAATTTCTTTCTGGGCTCAATGCAGTTGGTAAGTGTCATTCGCATGACATTCTGCATGCCAGCATTTGTTCATTTGGATTATCAGAAGTGTAATGTGACTGGGTGCCATAGCCACTGAATTTTTATACTGCTATACAAAAGCATAGCATTAGTAGTGCTAATATTTAGTTTATATGCAGGTGCTTATCTTGACTACCTGAAGTTCAGAAATCTTGATAAATTGCTATTATTCTGATGGTGCATTCAGATACTTCTTTAAATTCAATACAGATATTTTCTGCCAATTTCATGCAACTGTGTTCCACAAACTTTGTTAGCAGTGTCTGGTTTCATTCTGACAGATGACATAATCAACCAGGCTGTAGTTGTGCACATTTCTATTTCATTATGCCATACTTAATGCTGGAAATGTTGCTAAATGTCATGAGTAATATGTGGTTAAGTCACTGTGCTCAAATGTCATTTAGCTCTTGTTTTCATCCAATTTTGTGTTCGTCACTTTTCAACGATCGTTGTGAACTTGCTGATTTTCTTTTATACCTAAGTTTGGACTATTCTGTAAGGTAGAATGTACCTTTCAGTGGTTTCTGCATGTTTTTGATAATATGGCATATTAAATTAGCTCTAACAAAATTGAGATATAACAGAGAGAGAAGCCACCAATGCATTGAATTCATTTTAAAACTGTAAAATGTGCTTTTTCCGTTCTTCAATTAATAAACTTTGGTAGTGAATTAGATGTAGAGATATGTTATTTTTTGATTCATGCACATGTACATATCAGTATAAAAGGATTAATTTAATTTATTATTAAGGCAAAGCAAACTCAAGGGCTATCTGTTTATGGGAAGAAATGCCTTTGTGGTGGCCATTTTAAGGGAAAATGGCACATGAAAAAAACCATGAAAACTCCTATGCAGTCAGCCCATCCTATGGAATTCAAAATTCGGCTGAATTACCAGTGTTCAGTGACTTACAACTCCAGGGTTTGTAAGTTCCTTAAAAATTCTTAGATTTTTTTTCCCCTTAAAAGTCCTTAATTTTAATCATCTGAAATTTCTGTCTGTTCTTACGACTGCCATTTTGAGTGTGAATTAGCATTTTGGAGGAATATTTTTGGCAATTCACTGACATATATGATTATCTTTTCAATGGGTAGTCAAGTTTCTAAGCAAGAAGTGAAACATAAGCATTTCGTTTTTTCTAATGAAGAGCTCTTAAACAACTTTTCACTTTTGAAAATGTGATTTCCTTTATTAAACGGTTCTGAATTTGGCGACTTACCAACATTTTGGAGATTTTAAGATCAATGTCTATAGAATATTTTTAATTCCGAGATCTGGGAATTTTTGATGATTTTTTTAAAACATTGTAACATTGACAAATGTCATTAAAATAATGGCAATATATTGAAATTGTATTTAAAAACTAACATTAAAATAAAACATTTTTCTTTTTTGCTGTTATATTATAAAGTTTCATTTTGGCAACTTATATAAGATTTGAATCTAAAAAATTAACAAGGTATAATGCTATAAAGTACAATTTACGAAACAGTTCTTAGCAAAAGCAAAATTAGCTATGTAATTAATTAAAAATATCTTTAATTTTTTCTTAATAAGAGTTTTTCCCATGTAATTATCTCAGAATATGCATCAGTTTTCTCTATAAAGTTAATTTTACACTTTTTCCCTCCTCTTTTTTTTTTTTTTTTTCCTTCAAAATATTTGAGGCTTTTTGCTGTTACAGAATTGGTAGGGATAATTTTTCGTTAGGATTTTAGCCATTGCAGCTTGGAAAATTTAGAAGGATTTGAAGGCAAGATTTATAGACCCATGATTCTAGGAGATTCCAGAAATATGTGACAAAACGAAAAATGTCTCCATAGTATTAACTTGTAATGGATGCATTTTACAGAAAGTTTGCGGTGAGTTTCTTACTTTTTGGAGAACGTCTGGAAGAACAATGAAAACATAATATTTGAATGTTTTACTTCTAATACTAGAATCTTTATCTTAACATGTTTATCTTCCCTTTTATTTTCTCTACTTTTCACTAGACACAAGCATGGAAAACATTAAAAATGCATCTAATCTGATCTCATGGACAGGCGTTATGGAAAGGAATTTTTTTAATTAATAAAGAAATTGAAAATTTGCAATTTAAAAGATTCAACTAATATGTCTTAATGCATCATATACAGAGCAGGCGCTAGGCATTTCCCACCTGATGCAATCTCTGTGGATCCTAAATTCTGCTGCTTAGTGCTTTTCTAAATTTTGCTTCCAATGCCTGCTCTAAAATCTAAAAGTTTTGCCATTTCTAGATTTTGTTGCTCGCTGTGTCACTAAATTCTAAAAATTCTGACACCCCCAACTCTGTAACTTTCCCTTACCATATATATTTCATATTTCTTCTGAATGTTCATATTACTAAAGAAATAAAATTAGCAGCTTTTTCTATACATTATAAATGCTTTTATTTTTTTTAGACTAACAGAAATCCTTAATTAAATCCAAAAATTTTAAAATGAAAAGGAAACGTGTTGAAGAAAGAAACTAAATACATAAAGAAAATTATTCTTCAAATATATGTACAGTTATTATCATGTAAATTACCCAGTTGTTTATGATTTCAGCCTTTACTATAATTTCCAGTTTCTGTTTCCTCATATGATAGAGTTACTGAGCCATTTTAAATTTAAATTAAACAGTACAGTCTTTGACCACTAGTCCGCATTTTTAGTTTGAACTTGACTGTTCTTATTTAATTACATCACCATGAGTTATAATTGATTTTGTTAAGCATCAGAACATGCCTTTTATGTTCTAAGTTCTTTTTAAATAAAAGGCTTGTTTAAACCTTTGTCTGACATTGTAGTTACTTTCAGACATGGAGATAATTTGTTTCCCGTCTGTCGGGAGGTTTTGGACTATTTAACTTTTACCGGATCAAGTAAACCCTCATAGGTACACTGTGGAGAGGTTGACAAGTTAGGATATAAAGCACGCAGAAACTAGTGAGAACCTTGGTTTGCGTATTGAGACAATTTTCTGAATGTTAAAAAAGATGCTTAAAGAGAAGTCAATCGATATAAAATAGCCAAAATGTCTGGGAAGACTTCAAATTTAAAAAATGCATAAATATTTTGTCGAGTGTCGTTGTTACAAAAATTAAATGTTTTGTAGCTATTAATGTGTAATTATCCTAATATCATTTAAGAATCAATGTCATAAATTACATGTATTTTAAACTGTGAAATTTTATTAGGTTGTGATTTTAATAGGGCTTTTTTTTAACAAATATTGTTAAAAAATAAAATTTAATAGTGGCCAGATAATCCATAATGACTTAAGTTTACCTAACTACCAAATTTAATTATTTATAACGAACTGCTTGAAAATTATCTCTGCATATTAAAGCGAGCTACTAAATTTAATTTATAATTACTGTGGTCACAAAATAAAACACAACAATGTAAAAATTCATGTAAAACTTATTCTTTGCATCTAGCCAGTCTTAAAATAATACAGAACAAATTATCACTTCTGGTTCTTTAGTGGCTTAT